ACACTCAGGGTGGGCCCTGTGTGCCAGCAGAGATGGCGAGCAGGAGCCAGGACCAGAGCCTGCGGGAAGATCTGACGTGTGCCATCTGCTGCGAGCTCTTCAGCGAGCCTGTCATGCTGGACTGCATGCACCACTTCTGCAAGGCCTGCATCCAGGGCTACTGGGATTGCTGCGCCAGCATCCCTTCCTGCCCCCAGTGCCGCCGCGAGTTCCCCAGCCAGACTTTCCGCACCCACTACCTGCTCTCGGGGCTGGTGGAGAAGGTGCGGCGCTGTGGTTCTGCGGAGCACCGGCACAAGATGCAGGTGAGTGGCTTCTGTGTGGCTGGGGGAGAAGGGGATGCGTGAGCCCCGTGCAGGCACCAAGAGCCCACCACCCCCTCCTTCCACAGCTGCTTTCCCTCCAAGGGACCCCTGTATGCGTCTCACCTGGCCTGAGTGCAATGACATCTGTGTCTGATTCATTCCTTTTCCCTGTTTTCCCTGGCTGTTTCTCACATAGGGACCATGCAGCTGTGTGCGCTGCTTGAGGGGCCAGCCCCTTCACAAGTCAGTTCACAGCACACAGGTTTTAAACCTTCTGCAAACAGATATCTGGGGCTGGAGCTCCCAGTCTTAAAAATAAATATTTCCCTATGTGCACACATACACATTTCTCAAGCCTGTGCGTTGGGTACTTTCTTCACCTTAGTGCCTTTATAAGAAATCCTGTTGTAGCCTCCTGCTAATACTGGCCGCAGGAATTGGGATTGCTCCTGAATCGCAGCAGAGTAGCAAAACGATCTCATCTTTTCCTCATTCCTGCAGAAGCGCCTGGAAGATGCTTTGCAAGCTCGTCAGAAGGAGCTGGAGAACTTCTTGCGGAGGAAGTCTGTGATGCAGGAAGATATCTGTGGCCTGACGGTAATGCCTTGCCGTAGCTGCTCTTTGTACAGCCTCTGGGCTAATGTTCACAGGGGATCTGTGTATTGCTTCAGCTGAGATTCAGCTCAGCTTCCTGTAAAAATCTGGACAAATAACCAGGTAGGGATCTGAACAAACTCCCCTGCATGTAGCTCAAAGCCCATCACTACTGAAGCATATTCAGTGGAGGCTTTGGGAAGAGGCATTAAGCCCTCAGTAATGCAGTGTTTACAGGGTGTGGCAGTGCTGAGACAGGGTGAGTGGGGAGAGCTGTCGGCAGAGCAGCCTGTTCTGGCCCTGCAATGCTCCTGCTTTGGGAGAGGGTTAATTCCTGGAAGCTCTAAAATCCTCTTGTGTGTCTGAAGGGGTGGCAGCAAAGCTGAAGGAGCCGGGTCAGTAGCAATGTTGGTGCTTCAGACGGCAGCAGCCTTGTCACAAGGACCGTGTTTGGGTTCACTGTGAAGCTGTGAGACAGTGTAAGGAGCCTGAGTGCTCTCTCCAGGCATGAGTGGGACCAGGCTGCCTCCTTGTCACTCATCAGTGAAGCAAGAACACCCACAGGCTGACTGCAATTCCGTGAGTGACATAAAAGTATTGAAAGCTAAGGAAGGAGAGTTTAAGGAAAACACACGTAGGTCAGAGGTGAGATAAAACCCCTGTGAGCCTGCCTCCTGACCGAGTCTGATCCCCCTGCCAGCGCTGTGTTTCGTACCTCTATCCCACTGCCAGATTTGGAATGGACCTTAGAGGTTAATGAAAACGTGTTAGCAAATACACGCGTGTGGCTGATGTCCCGTTGCAGGGAAAGATCTGACTAAGAGGGGCTTTGAGAGTAAAGGAGCAGGAGCTGAGCGGAACGGGGAGGCTGTGCACGTCCTCTGGGTTCTGGTGTGTCAGCACCTGCTAGACCAAAGGGAGGCTGGGGTGCCGTGCCGGCTGGGGAAGCTTCGGATGCCATCTGAGGGAGATGGGCTTCCTGCTGGTAGAAAGGGATGCGTGTTTCAGGAAGCGCTCCTGCAGAAAATGAGGGCTAAGGTTGCACTTAGAGATTAAAAGCTTAAAGATTGGGAAAATAAGGAATCATTGGCTGGCTGCTGTAAACAGGCAGGAAGGCAGCGAGAGCGCCGCAAGGTTGGCTGGCCAACTAAACAGCTGGGAAAAAGTGACCTCTGAAGAGAGCGGAATGGGACTTTGTCAGCTTTAACTGCGGAGTTTCGTTTGTGCAGCTCCCTTGTCTCTCTGGTACAAACAGGAGCCCTGAGTGATGGAGGCATCAGAGAAAAAGAGCAGGTTACCAGGGTCAGGCAGCTCTGCACAGGGTCGGGCACAATGGGAAGTGAATCCTGACTAACTCGACAGATGAGTCTGCAGCTCCAGAAAAGCACAGGAGTTCCAGTTTGCACCCAAGCAAATTCCTGGTGGTGTGGGAGAGGGTTTGTGGGCTCCTGCTGAGGCTGTGTGCAAGGGTTTCTAGTGAAGGTGACTGAGCCGTTGGTAGGGCTTGGGTTTTATCCCTTTTGCTCTGTGGCCTTGGAAGTTGTCCTTGTCTCTGTTCTCCATCTGCAGAAGTTGTGGGAATGTCTGAGACTGATTTCCAGGAATCTTTAAGCAGGGTAACGGTCCCGGCCATCCTGTGCACCTGCTTGTTTGATGTAGCTGCCAGACTCACCTTCTGCCCTCTCCCTCTGCTCAGAAGGTGTCTGGGGAGCTGAACTTAAAGATCCAGGCGGAGTTTGCCCGCCTTCATCAGATCCTGGAGGAAGAGGAGAGAGCTGTGCTGGCAGAGCTGGGCCAAAAGGAAGAGCAGTCGCTGGCACGGCTGCACGGGGATGTCCACCAGCTGGAGAAGGGGATATCAGTGCTGCAGAGGGACATAGAGCACATAGAGCAGACCCTGAGCAAGATGGAAGAGGTGTCATTGCTGGAGGTGAGAGTGCTTGGCTGACCCTGGCAGGAGGCTGAGGGGTGTTTCAGCAGGTGAATTTGGGATGGGGAGAGTCCTAAACGATAGCGTTGGGCTGTACCTGGAAGTCATTCTCTCTGCCATCCCTCCTGACCATCTACTCAATTACTTGGAGTCTGGAGGGTTTAGCCACACGGGATATGGTGATCTCTCAGGTGTCTCAGGAACCTTCCTCCTCTGTCACCCGTGTGAGATTGCCTTGGCTGCGGTGCCCAGGCAGCTTCCCCTGGGGTGGGGGAACTGGCAGCTTGGTTTCCTATCTCGGTGCTGCCTGACTGCGGGAGACAGGACAGGGAGCTTATTTGTGCAGCTGCGTGAATCGCGGACAGTGACTGCTAATTCTCTCTGCTCCTCACTGCAGGTGGAGAGCCTGGATATCAGGTACGTGTCTGGCATGGCAGAAGCCGATTCCCTTTTCAGGAGCTTATCTCTGTCCCTGGCTGGGACCACATGAGGAGGGATCTTATCTCCAGTTTTAAAAGCATAGCAAATAGCTCAGCGAGCTGCTGGTGCTGTGTCAGGTGGGGGCTGGCTCCAGCATGTGCGGGATGCTCTTCCCAGGGAGCGTGCGTGTTGAGGTGGCTGGAGGAGTGGGCTGGTTGGGTTGGGCGCAGGAGCCACGCGTGCTGCAGGCAGGAGCAAGGCTGATGCCGCTGACTTTGGGTGCTTTGGTTTCTCCCTGCCCTCTCTCAGCTTCTCAGGGCTCCCAGGGGTGCAAAACTGACCCCAGGGTGCAGGCTTGGCTGAGGCTGTGAGTAGCTGAGGGCCAGAACCGCCATGGGGGGTGGTGTCCTGTCCTCTCCCTGCGGTGGGATGCCGGCCTGGCCTGTTTGCTGGTGCGGGCATCCTGCTTGGGTGTGCTGGGTGCTGGTCTGCCATCAGACACCGCCCTGTGAGCCGTGCTGCTGCATTTGTCCTGGCCCTCAGCACCTCTGGGCTGACCTGCTTCCCATAGTGGGATGGGGAGCAAGCAGCCACCGGGGAGGTTTGTCCTGCCTTCACCAAACCCGTTGCACCACAGCCCTGAGCGCACTGGTGCCTCGCACAGCGGAGGGGCTGACTGCTGCTCTCTGTGCCCCAGGCCCGCGCTGCGCATGGATACCCAGCCTGCCTTAGACCTGCAGCACTACAGGGACAGCCACAGCGGCCCCTTGCAGTACATCTTCTGGAGACGGATGCTGCGGTACATCCACCCCGGTGAGCAGACGGGTGTGCGGGATGCTGGTGGGGCCAGGGATGCTCTGCAAAGGGAATGATGCAGCCAGTAAAATGCCATGCTTGACATCTCCACAGCTCCAGCCCCGCTCACCTTTGACCCTGAGTCAGCCCACCCCAACCTGGTCTTCTCCAGAGACCTGACAGCAGTGACAGAGAGGAATCAAGCCCTGCCCGTCCCCAGCAGCCCCCGGCGCTTCCGTCAGTGCGTCAACGTCCTGGGCTCGCAGATCTTTGAGAGTGGCCAGCACTACTGGGAGGTCTGGGTGGGCAGCAAAACCAAGTGGGATCTGGGGGTGGCCGCTGAGACTGTGGATCGGGCAGCAAAGGTCAAGCTGTGCCCAGAGAATGGCTACTGGACGCTTCGCCTGCGGAACAGGACGGAGTACTGGGCCACTGCTACCCCCTGGGTGCGCCTGACTCCCCACCGGCACCCCCGGAAAGTGGGGGTCTTCCTGGATTGCCAGGAGGGCACTGTCACCTTCTTCAACGCCGGAGACATGTCGCACCTCTTCACCTTCCACCAGGTCTCTGCAGAGAGATACTGCCCCTTCTTCAGCACCTGCTTCAGCGACGGGAGGATCAACGTGGAGCCCATGCGCCTCTGCCACCTGGCCCTGTGAGGGACGGGGGAGCGGGTGCTCACCACCTTGGCTCCGTGTCACCGCCGCAGGCTGCCCGGGGCCGTGCTGGGGACCGCTCTTGCACATGTGGACTTGGTGGGTGTTGGAGGGGCTTGGTTTTGGTTTTGGGAGGGAGGAGGAGGATGCATCTGTCTGGGCTGTGGGTGTCACACTGCATTCCCAGAGGCACCTGGCATCCCTGGGATGCCGGAGCATTGCACAGGTCAGTAACT